TGCTGACATTCCAATTCCAGTAATAATGATTGTTTTCCTCTTCCTGGGAGAAGGAAGAGGAAACCTTCACAAAGGGAGTTTTGGGAGAAGGAAGGAAGAACACCTTCACAAAGTGACATTCATGTCCTGCTTTTAGGCAAATCAGGGGAGGAGAAAGAGCTCTTTCTGTGTTCCCTGATTCCTAATTGCCTTCTGCTCAAGATAATCATGATGCCAATGTAGCATATCATGGGATGGCATATTATGGAGTGGCATATTTTGATCCCCTTCACTAGTTTATCTTACAAATCCTGTTCTATTGCTCACAAGGCACAGAACTTGGCCTACTGCATTCTCTTAGAAAGAGAAAATAAGAAGCTATCTCTCTTCTCTCATTTTAAAAGAGGTTGGGTGGGGGAGGGGCAGTTTGTGAGATGAAGGGTTAAGTGGTTTTTTTTTTTTTTTTTTTTTGAGACAGAGTCTTGCTCTGCCACCAGGCACCAGGCTGGAGTAGAGTGACATGAGCTTGGCTCACTGCAACCTCCACCTCCCGGCTTCAAGCAATGTTCCTGCCTCAGCCTCCCAAGTAGCTGGGACTACAGGTGCACACCACCATGCCCAGCTAATTTTTTTATTTTTTAGTAGAAATGGGGTTTCACCATGTTGGACAGGATGGTCTCAATCTCTTGGCCTCGTGATCCTCCTGCCTTGGCCTCCCAAAGTGAAGTGGTTTTCAATAGAAGTCATGTGTGCTGCCTCTCAGATAGAGGCTCAGGAAGGAGGCAAGGCCACAAAGAGAGAAGGGCTGCTTGGTGGGGCCAGGCTGATAAAGACTGTGATAGGCCATCAAGATAATCAAGAGATACCCCAAAAGAGCCTCACTTACCCTACTGACATCCTATGTGGGCCAATGGCCAGTGACCAAAAAGGTTGATTCTTTTAGAGAGTCACAAGTAAGTGACACAAGTAAGTCAAATATCACATTTCTTCTACTCTCTCTGCTGAAGAAAGCAAGAAACTTGATGAAACAGGAGGATTTGGATTGATTAAGGCAGAACGAAACATAAACACAGAAATTTCCAATTGGATTGAATTATTTACAAATATATATATTTTTAACTACTTGATTTGTAGAATAAAATTTATATACTCCCTGGCACACAGTAGAAGGTCAATTTACTATAGTTACTATTCCTGCTATATGTTATTTTATGTGTATGTCCATCTCTTTTTGGTTAATGTGATGCTTAATTATATGTGTCAACTTGGCTTGGCCATGGTGTTCAGATATTCGGTCAAACATTATTTTGCATGTGTCTGTGAAGGTGTTTCCTGGATGAGATTAAATCACTGGACTTTGCATGATGTCCTCTGGGTTCATCCATGTTGTCACAAATGATAGAATTTGTGTTGTTAAAGAAATTTTTTGCGCTCAAAAAATCAACTCTTTTATTTACACAAGAGTAATATCCAGTTCACGGCTGAGGTTTGAAATCTGCTTTGAATACATTGTGAAGAGGGCTGATGATGACTCACATGCAGATGGGGAAGGGCAAGTAACATGTGTGGTGAGGAGCCAGACACTGAATGGTTAAAATAACTAGGGCTGTCAAAACTGAATGAAGGAAGGCTGAATAGGGAGATGATAGCGGTCTTCAGATATTTGAAAGCCTTATTGTGGAAAAGAGAATGTGCTTGTTTTGAATGGGAGTTGAAAGCATGAATGTTTGATTCAATCCACGGAAAGAGGAAGTTTCTCATAGTTGAGTGTGCATCAATGTTAAGGGATTCAAACAGAAATTCAATATTCATTTTGCCTGGAATGTTGTCAGAGGATTCCTGTACGTAGAGGAATGTGGTCTTGGCACTTTTCAGTTTTAGGATAATATGATAAGTAGGGCAGGCAGAGGCAACTAATATTAGCAAATTCCAGGAAATATGCTGAGTGCTTCATGTCATTAGAATGTCTAATGACATCAGAATGTATCATTGAAACTGCCTCACAGCTCTATGAGTTTAACATTATAAGTATTATTATTCTTACTTTACAAATCAAGCTTAGTTTACATAGTGAACTGCCAGAGTTCACAATGCTGACAAATTGTAGGGTCAAGTTTAGAATCCAGGTCTACTGCATTAAAGGGCTATGTACTCTCCACCATATACTCCATATTCCTAACATGCTTTTTCAAAAGAAAAGAAGAAATTCTTAGTTTGAAGACAAAACTGTCAAGATATACAGATTTTATTAACAAAGTGATCAATGACAGGCACTGACTCATTGAAATATTTTAGCTATGATTCTTATATTAATTTCAATGCATAAAATAACGAACAGTTTAACATATAACAGCACATGTAAAAACTACTGTATTCTAGATGTATGTCCATCTTTTTTTGGTTAATGTGATGGTTAATTTTATGTGTTAACTTGGCTTGGCCATGGTGTACAGGTATTTGGCCAAACGTTATTCTATGTGTGTCTGTGTTGGCATTTCTTGGATGAGATTAACATTTGAATCAGTGGGCTTCGCATAATGTCCTCCAGGTTCATCCACATGTCGCAAATGACAGAATTTCTATCTTAAAGGTTGAATGGAATTCTGTTGTGTATATACTCCATGTTTTCCTTATCCATTCATCCATTGATGGACAGAAAGAGAAATACCAAATGATCTTACTTATATGTGAATCTAAAACAAACTCATAGAAGTAGAGAGTAGAATGGTGGTTACCAGAGGCCAGGGCATGAGGTGAGGTGGAATGGTGAAATGTTGATCAAAGGATATAAAGTTTCAGTTAGACGGAATAAGTTTTTGAAATCTATTTCACAGCATAGTGAATACAGATAACAATAATACATTGCATATTTCAAAATTGTTAAGAGTAAATTTCAAGTGTTCTTATTACAAAAATAATAGGTATGTTAATTAGCTTGATATAATCATTTCACTTCATATACATATATAAAAATCACATTGTACCCCACAAATACATACAATTATAATCTGTCAATTAAAGATAAAAATAAACTTCAAAACTAAAATCACAATAAAAACTATGAAAAATTAGTGGACTATGTACAAAGATTATCCTCCATACTGCAGGTAGGCCTCATTCCATCCGTTGAAGGCCTTAACAGAGCAAAAACTGATCTACCCAAAACAAGAAGGAATCCTGCCAGACAGCCTTTGGACTTGGACTGTAACTCTTCTCAATCCAGCCTGCCTGACTGCAAATTTTGCTCTTGTACCTCCACAATACCTTAAAACTAAAATATATCTATCTATATACATACACAGATAGTTGGCTCTGTTTTTCTAGGTCTCTTTCCTTTCTTTCTTTATTTCCTTCCTTCCTTTCTATTTCTTTCTCTCTCTCTCTCCCCCCCCACCTTTCTTTCTTTCTTTTTTTTTTGAGGCAGAGTCTTGCTCTGCTGCCCAGGCTGGAGTTCAGTGGTGCAACCTCAGCTCACTGCAACTTCCATCTCCCAGTTTCAAGCGATTCTTCTGCCTCAGGCTCCTGAGTAGCTGGGATTACAGATGCGCCACTGCGCTTGCCTAATTTTTTTTTTCAGTAGAGATGAGGTCTTACCATGTTGGCCAGGCTGGTCTCGAACTCCAGACCTCAAGTGATCCTCCTCAGTATCCCAAAGTCCTGGAATTACAGGCATGAGCCACAATGCCTGGCAGTTATTTATATTTCTTTGTTTGCTCCTATGTTCCCAGGTTTCTTTTCGCTTTGAAAATCTATGACTGGAAGAAATACATAGGTGAACTTGGAAGTAGATCTTTCCCTTATCAAGCCTTCAGATCGGACTATAGCCTTGTCACCACTCTAATTGTAGCCTCCTGAGAGACACCGAGCTAAGGCACATACAGATTCTTTACCCACAAAACCGTGAAATACATGTTGCTTTTAAAAAATTCCACGAGTGGCACTTAAATTTCTTTGGGACTATATTGTGTTATAGCGGCTGACTCAAAAGGGGAGTCTGGGAACTTGGTCTGGGCCCCTGGTCACCTCTAGCTAGTGTGCACAGACCTCAGATCTGATCAAAGTTTCATTTCTTTACCTGCTAATGCGAAAGAGTTGGGCAGAAGAACTTAAGCTTCCCTTAAATGCTACAATTAAATGTCTCTATTAATCATACTGTTTATTCATCAAAATAAATACCGATAAAAGTGACACGTAGAACACACCCTAGATGTTCAGGCCTCTGGAATTAGTGGCAGCGTTCCAGCTTCCTTTCTGCTTGTAACTAAGTCCTGCTTTACCTCTTCCTCACACCCTCCCACCCACCAACAGTTCTCTACCATAAGCTAAGCTAATCAGCGTTAGATAGTTGTTAGGGCACTTCTGTGTGTGGCCTGTGCATGTGCCAGTGTGTACACCGTGCAAGCTGGGCTGTTGGGGTTCTGGATGTGCATACAGCCCTGGCACTGAAAGCTTTGCCTCTAGCATTTTGTGGATTAACTCTGGCAGTACATAATGGGAAGAAACGCTCTCTCCAAGTGTGAGCCCCTGCTTCTTCTCATTCCCAAGGAGGTGTGTCCAGATCTCTTTGCCAGGCAGCTACTTTATAGGACCATTGGAGAGCAGGCAGCTGACTTTCCCCAACGAACAGCTGGATTTGTCTTGGCAAATCCGTTCCCCTCAATAAAATGTTATGTGACCATCTTCCCAGCCTCCTGTTCACATCCCTTCATTCTTCCGAGCAAGCGAACTAGTGAGAGAAGATAGAAAAGTGAAGCAAATAAAAGTGACAGAAAAGTGAAGCAAAGCAACGGCCCGGGAGTGTGGCGGGGGCCCCGCGCGGGGACTCGGGTGGGCTGCCAGCGCGGGGGAGATGCCACAGGCGCGCCTGCCTTCCCAGCTTCTCCTTTCTCTCGCCGAGGGTCCCTCGAGTTCAGCGCTCCTGGCGTTCTGGCGACCTCCGGGTCCGCCCCGTCCCCTCCCCGCCCCGGAGCTGAGCCCGGCTCTGCGCCCATTGATCACCACACGCCGACCCCCTCCACTCTGCCCTCGCCGCTCGCTCCGAGAGCGCCCGTTCGTCCCGCTGGGAGACTTCTCCTTTTCCGCCCTGGGGCTGAGGATCCTGGGTGGGGCAGCTGCGCCTTCGGGACAGCCCCAGCCGCGAAGCGCCCGGCCCCGTGCCGCTGTAGTCGGGCCTGACGCCGCCCGCAGCCGGGGCAGCCGCACCTGAGCCCCAGCTCCAGCCACGCCGCGGCGCCGGAAGCGCGGGCGGAGCGCACTGGCCGGGTAAGAGCAGCCCGCGCCCGCGAGGGGGACCCGAGTCCTCAGGGAGGCGACCGAGTCCCGCCTCACGCCAGCAGGGTCGAGGACCTGCGACGCGCACCCCTCCGCCCCAGCGCCCCTGCCCGGCCCGGTCACCCCAGCACCAGCCCCGCGCATACCCGACTTCCTCAGCCTCTCGCCCTCGCCCTGCCAACTTCCCTGCGAGGAGGAACCTGCCGCCAGCCTGCCCGCTCGCAGGCCCTGCGCTGAACGCCTGCAGTTCACCTTGCGCCGTCGGGAAACCCCATGAACTCTCCAGAAACTGAGTGAAGGAGGGTCCCTTCGCGGCGCACGGCCGGGTGCCTGGGGGTTCCCCCCACTCCCCCGGTGGAGCAGCGGTAGCAGAGCCGGGAAAGTAGTGGAGGATGATCCTGCGGCCAAAGGGGACCTCGGGGCAGTAATGTCAGCATGTAAGTCTTACCTTTAAGCTCTGAATTCCTTCACTCTTATCTGTGTTCACCCTCTGCCGCCCCCTCCCCGACCACCCCACCCACAAGCGAAATGATTTTTTAAGGACTTCAACTGCACAGTGGGAATAAACCGGTTTGTCTGATTCAGTGTGCCCCTCGAGGCACTGAAGAGTAGGACTACTGCCAAGTGGAGTTGTGACATTTGCGTGTGGCTTTTTTCCCCCCAGCGAGGTAAACCTCACATTTGGGCGGTGTAAAGCCTAATAAAAAAGGCAGGGCTTCAAGAATGGGGAAAACGTGTTTTCGATTCAAATTAAACAAGGAGTAACCGGCACTGCTCCTCCGTCCAGGGGCCTGGCCCTGCCAAGAAGGCGCTCTCCGGGATCAACACCTGGGGGCTTGGAAGGTACTGCTGTGCCGAGAAAATGTTGACTTTACACGTTGTCACTATTGCCTGTAGAAGTTATTCTTGGATCTTTGGGGTGTTTGAATGTTTTCAGTGTGCATTGTAGATTAAGAAGTAATTAAGGGTTATGCCACGTTACGTGACAGGATCTGAGGGGACTTCTATAGACTTATGGGGGGCGGGGGAAATTAGAGCATTGAAACAGGAAAGCCTAAAAGGTTTTGCTTCCATGGAATTGTCATCCTAATGGTGAGGTGGCTCAGAACGAGCCCATGAAAGGGTCGCTAAGCACAGCCTGGCCTTCCAGAATAGAAAAAGGAAGATTGTATGTACTCAAAAGGGCCAAGTTAATTTTTGCAGCCAGCTAAGAAGTTTCTTTTTCTTGTAATAGGTAATTTTGCTTCTGGTGTTTTACTTAATCTTGAGTAGACACCGTGACAGACATTTTATCCACTTCCACTAACTTACGTACAACAGTTTCTAGAACTTCAAACTTAACTCTTCTTTCCCCAACTCCTGGATCCTTATTTATTTTCACATGAATTTACTCTTTCAGTTCAGTACCTGGGGAAAGACCTGCCCCCTGGGTCCTGTCTTTCCATACTCTCCTGGACTTTCCATTCCCCACTTCCCCACTCCCTAACACACATTTTTAAAATAGGAGAGAGAAAGGATAGTGCCCACAAGCTTAGCACTCTCTAGTTCTGTTCCTGGTACTGTGAAATGTAATCAGAAATGAACCACTTATTTTTACTAAAGCAGCATGTGAAATAACTCAACACCTGGGAGTTTTAAAGTTTTGTTTATGCCGGTGGAATCTACAAGGTATAACGTGAAAAAATTTATTTTGGGATACAGCCAGCATTTTCGTATAAGACTTGTTCTCATACAGGCTGCACATTTTGAAGGAATATGAGCTTGTTTTCAACTTTAGTTTTTTTTGAAACTGTACTAGGGTTTTTAACAGCAGATATTTGTCCAGTTTCTTTTCAGCTTTCCTAAGCATTCAGATCTTATGAGAAAAAAAGCATGTTATACATAAAAGTATAAATACCTGTTTTTAAAATGAAAGATGTGAAACTTATCAACAGGTAATGAAAAACTTTCCTGATCATAAAACTAAGTTATATAGTCCATTTGAATTCTTCATGATTAAAAAATCATGTCATTATAGGATAAAAGCGTGAATATGAAATCACATAGGAAATAGGACTTGGTACCTTCATTTGGGATTCTTTATTGAGCTATTTTGACTGAAAGTTTCCATTTTTTACCAGATGGTAAGTATATTTTTTCCATTTTGCTGTTTACTATTCATATGGAGTGGTTTAGGATGGTCTGATTCTTTTTAGTTACTGGTTTGTTAGAATATATGGAAAGAATTATCAACCTTTCCAAGATTAATTTTCTTACTACCTTGTTGAAAAATGTTAAAACAGGGAACATAAACTATGTTATCCTTTAAATTTTAGTAAAGTACAGAAACTAAGTGTATTTTCTGCCTCCTCCTTGTGGAGAAAGTGTATTTGTATATTGTTACACTCAAGTTCTGAAATTTTAGATTTGACGAATACATTTGGGAGTTGTAGTGACTGCATATTTTTCATACCCTAAGAAATTTAGTAGATTTAGCAAGACTTGCATTAGTTGGTCTCAAGCTGCATGAAGCTACTGTTCCATTTATGGCTTATATAAATTACATGACATTGTGCTTTTTCAATATGAATGGTGAATGAGGCTATTGTCTCTTGGCTTATGGGAAATATTAGAAGCCTGTAGTTTTGTAGCCTAACTGGACACATTACTCTGATGTCTGGAAATAATGATTTGAAAGAGAATTAGTTTATATATTAAAAATAAGCTAACAACTGCTTTTTAAAACCTGACCATTTTTCTAACGGCCTATGTATCTTACAGAGTTTACATTTCTGATGGGATGATTGAAAGTTTCTACAGTCTATTTAGAATTTAGACTAAATAGAAAAGACTTTATTCAATGTGTGTGGTATGCATGGGCAAAAACTGTATCTTTCCATATTCATTTCTATCTGGGTGAGATTATTACATTATCCACATTGGATGATGTAAAGATGCGTACTAGTTGACTGGGGTGGTGCCATATAAAGGGTATACTGATTACAAAATGTGGCTACCTGAGTGTCATCTTACTTTCCTTTATAAGCATTGCCTGAAATGGAATTATCTGAACTGCCTTAAAAAAAGCTTCAAGATTCTTTTATTTGAAACAGAACAAATATGACAGAAGTTTAGCATATTTAAAATAGGATTGGTTAAAAAAATCACAAATCAGTGAAGAAAATATTTACATTTGTAATAGAAAACCATACAAATGACTTAAGCATGACAATCCAAATCAAGGAAATTCAAATGAAATGCTACTTCTATCAAAGTGATAACGATTAAAGCAGTAATACTCAGTAATGATGAGAGGGCCATGACATGAAAACAGTGATAATTTCAATGTAAATGTGTTTGTATTTAGAAATAATTTTAAATCTACTTGAAGTTTGAAAAAATAAAAATAAGGCAAAGAACACACCTCTATACCTTTTGCCCAGAATCACCTATTTTGAGAATTGGTCCCATTTGTTTTATCATTCCCGTTCCTCCCTGCCTAGCCCCCCACCAGCCCCTCCTGTACCAACACACAAACAGACACACACAGACACACACATACACACACACACACACACACACACACACACACAATTTTATTCTGAACCATCTGAGAACAAGTTGTATGCATAAGGGCTTAAGAGTTTAATTTTTCAATTGAAATTTTAAAGATATTTGTAAGTTCAAATATACTTGCCAAAAAATACAGAGATCCAGTGTACCTTTGACCCTGTGTAGCATTTGGAAAACCTATAGTACAATATTAAAACAAGTGTATTGATACTACAGGTTTTCAGATTTCCTAAGTTTCACGTGTACTCATTCTTGTGTACATATGTGTGTAATTCTCAAGGCTGAGTTTTACTCTCACCTCTGGTACAAGCCAGTTATGCTTGTTACTGTTCAAATAAGGTTTAAGATTTGTGCAGGGTTGAAGAATAAATCAGCCTTTTTGAAGTGGAGGTACACTCAACTTAATAAAGGGACTTAAATTGAGTTAATAGAATAGCACTTAAAAAAAATACATTGCTTTGGCTCAGGAACATGATCTTTAACCAAAAAAAAAAAAAAAAAAAAGAAAAATACGATTATAAGCAGACTTGAATAAACCAAATTACCATTCTTTTCACTCTGGAAAAATTAAGGTATTTTCTCTGCCACTCCCAAGTCCCCTTTATGAAAAGATTTGCCATTGAAACAGAGTTGGGATACAGGGAAAGAAGTTAATTCTGACAGTTGCTAGTATTGATTGCATTAGTATCATATCAATTTCTCCACTAATACCAAAATTTTGTCACTAATTTCTTTTTAAATTGTGACTTTTGGAGAAACCAGTAGAGAGATGGAAAATTGTAGGTTTTAAAGATTATTTTGGTGATCCATTTGGGTAAAATAATGCCTAAAAGGAATCACATCCACATTTAAAGCAATTCTGTAGAAGTGATAATGATTAAAGCAATAATAATAGTGATGAGAGGGCCATGATACGAAAACAATAATTTCAATGTAAATATGTATGTATTTAGAAATAATGTTAAATCTACCTGAAGTTTTTAAAAATAAAATAATGCAAAGAACACACCTCTACACCTTTTGCCCAGAATCATCTATTCTGAGTATTGGCCCCATTTTTTTTTTAAATCATATTCATTCCTGAACAGGACTCAAACAAATGGGACTATAATACATTCTAAAATTACTGAGTCCTCAAGCTTTACATTCTAAAGCTTCCTGAAACAGGACTGAAACAAATTGCATTTTGTGGCCTATGTAGATTGAAAAGGGGAACAAGTTTGCAGCAGAGGTAGTGTTCTTGAAAAGTACGCTAGGTTGGTGACAAAAAGGATCTTTTGACTCTGATACCACTGACATATCATCTTGGGCAAGTAGTTTAGTATCTTAGTTTCTTTACCTGTAAGATGATAGGGTGGTGGTTTTTTTTTTTGTTTCTTTGTTTGTTTTTGCATAATCTTTAGATTCCTTCCAGATATGGGAGTCCATGACTGTCTTTTACTTAAAAATGTTCCTGCTGTCTTCAATAAAACTTTGAGACCACAATCAAAATGGTATAAGACTGAACTGTTTTTTGTGTTCTTTTTCCCCTCGTAGTTCCCTGTTTAGAACCTTAGTAACCCTGTTCAGGATTTTCCATTCTTGGGAGAAAGTTATTTAAATCTCAGGGATGTATCTTCGCTAAGTGATCCCCTGAGAAAACACATAGTACTTTCCTTCCTCTGTTCTATTCTTAATTTGTTTGTTTATCTTCTTCAGTAAACAGTAAAGTAGAGGAAAGTTGGTCTGTCCTATGGTTTCTTTGGTTAGAAGGGCTTGCCTTGCTGACTTTCTTTTCTGTCTGAAGTGATAGAGTTTTGAGACATGGAATGCCTTAAGCCCATGGTGGTCATTTGCAACTGATAGGATTGCAGGGAGCTTTGATAAGACAGCTTCAGGTTTGAATATGGATGGAATCCCTAAATGTTGAAACCTTTTATAGCAAAGAAGTTGCTGGAGCATATAAACAGTATTTTGTAGCCAAACGAATGAACAGGAATCTATGAGTATTGTTTAGAGATTACATGAATCTAAGAGAGGGCCATTATTCACATGTTGATAAAAGAGAATTGTCATATGTCAAAAAGTGTAAGAAGCTGCGAATTTCTTGGTCTGATACATTCTTCGATTAATATCTGTAATGGTGACAGCCAGGTTTGATTGGTCTGTCTCTTTATTTCCCTGGATTTGTGTTTCCTCTTTTGTAAAATGAGAAGGTTAGATTAGACTTCAGCTTTGGTCCTTCTGGCTGTAAACTTCTTTGAATATATAATTGTACTTTTGTTTTACAAGCATACTCATTCTTCCAGCATCAGTAGGAAACAGGCCTATTCTTCCAAATAAGTGAACTTTCTATGGGACGGAAGTTTGTCACCTACGGTTTTAAAAGCCCCTACAGATTGCCCTGTACTGTTATTTCAAGTTCTTTATGGTGGTTAATATCCTATTTACAGAAGAAAAGACTTTAAGTACTTGCCCTACAAAGCACACAATTTATAGAGGCACCAGGAGTTAAGTTGGTGCCATTAGAGGGTTCACATCCATTCTTATAATTACAACTTTCTTACTTACTAAAACATATTTCTCATTAGCAGTACTTCTTTTAATCTCAAATATTTTGGATCAATGGATTTTAAAACATAACTTGAAAACAACAGATACTCTTCTAATCTTAACCTTTTCCTAGTTTGGAATATTCCTAGTTTAGAATTTCCATCAGGAATACTGCATGATTCTAGAACTTCTAGTTTGGTGAATATGAATACTAAAACATGGCATGAGTTTCAGACACTACTTAATATTTCTGTATTCATAGCAGACATGAATAACCAGTTTCATTTCTGTCCCCAGGTGATCCCAGAAGTGACCATAAAGTCAATTGATTGGTGTTGGCATGTGAGATTAATCCTGTTTACTCTTGCTTGAGTCTTTTCCTTTGATTTCACTGTGGACAGAATAACACCACTTAAATGAGAATGCCTGAAATGATAGTAATAAAAATAATAGCTAATATTTACTGAGTGCTTGCTGAGTGTCAGGAACTGTTCTTGAAAGGTGTCATCTTGTTTAATCATCTCAGCAACACTATGGACTAGGTACATTGCTGTTCCTTATTTTACAGGAAAGAAATAGGAGGCACAGGGGATCAAGCAATTTCCCAAGGGTTGCAGCATAGTTCATAAGTAGCAAACCAGATCTGTCTGACTCTAGGCTTGTTTTCTTGGCTATGAGATGGAGATGGTCTCTTAAAGATTAAAAATTCAGGCTTCAGGCAAGTGCAGGAGTCCTTTGATGTCCAATTTTGCTCATTCGAGTGTTTCTCTGTCTGCATTTTCTGTTTAGTGTTATACATTTTACCCAGGTAAGCAACCTTCAGGCTTTAGGGTAGATATTACTGTAACCCTGAAGTCTCTTATTAGTTGCTCCTCAATAAATGACTCTCAGTTACTACTTATAGGCAAAGTAAATCTCTCTTAATGACTCTCAGTTACTACTTACAGGCAAAGTAAATCTCTCTTAGGGGATATTTAGGTCTCCTGGAGATTTCTGACTGGTGCTTACTTAACTTCCTGCCTTACAACTCTTCTGCTCACCAGTCCACTTATAGTCCCTTTTGGTGATTGACTTTTTGTAATTTCTTCCTTCTTTGCTGGTTTGCCGTTTTTGATGGTTCTGATTCAATGAAATGTATTATATCGTTTTGAGACAATGTAATAATGTTCCTTTCTAAATCATTATTAAAAGTAATTTTCAGATTTAAATGAGTCCTTCATGCAGAAGGACTGTTGAGTTTTCAAAGCACCACCTCTCCATCTAATGTCATTTACTACTTTCTTTTTTCTTTTTTTTTTTGAGACAGAGTTTCGCTCTTGTTACCCAGGCTGGAGTGCAATGGCACCATCTCGGCTCACTGCAACCTCCGCCTCCTGGGTTCAGGCAATTCTCCTGCCTCAGCCTCCTGAGTAGCTGGGACTACAGGCACACACCACCATGCCCAGCTATGTTTTGTATTTTTAGTAGAGACGGGGTTTCACCATGTTGACCAGGATAGTCTCGATCTCTTGACCTCGTGATCCACCCGCCTCGGCCTCCCAAAGTGCTGGGATTACAGGCTTGAGCCACCGCGCCCGGCCTACTACTTTCTGTAATACCTGGTGTTTACTAACCATTTAAAAACATTGATAGCTATTTTATATATAAAGACTTTACCTTTTTTGGAAAGTTAATGCTTCAGTGTATTACATTACGGGATAGAACAGAGCTTGGATGATTTGGTTTTATTTTAAATATTTCCATTTGTAAAGCAGCAGACATTAAGGAGAACATTTCCTTACAGTCTGAATTTCTGGAAGATTATAAGGAAGGTTGACGTAAACATCCTTCTACCTAGATGAGCATGAGTCTGGTGAGGCTTAAGGTAAAATTGCTTTATTCTTTAATAAATTTTTTTTGAATTGTCTATATACCCATCTTCATGCAGAAATCACCTATTATATGTATTTTGATAAGGAAAGTGCTACCACATGGCAAATAAAATACATGGATTTATTTTCTTTTGCTAATTAGCTTGAAGGAAGGGATTAGGTCATCATCATCTTTTAAGTTCCTCCTGTATTTGGAAGCAAGGCTGAAAAAGGTTTATTTTCCAGTCTCTGTTGGAAACCTACCCTTTTACATTATTTGCCATAATGCTTTGCTGAATGTTGAATGTCCTAATTGCCATTTTCTTTCCTTGCAGGATGTTTCATTCAGATCGAATGTGGAGCTGCCATTGGAAATGGAAGCCCAATCCTCTTCTGTTCTTCTTTGCTTTATATATCATGTGTGTTCCTTGCTCAGGTAAGACTCTTTCTCTTCCAAACCTTGAATTAGTCATGACGACATTGTCTGCAGCATAAGCACGCTACTTATTTACGTTACTTTACTTTTACTTACTGCCTTTTTTTCCTGTTTCTATCCCTATAGGGCTTTTTTTTCTGTTTATGATTTATCTATCCTCTTTGAATTCTGTGTGAATGCTATTACTTTGATCATTGTTATATTTTCTAATGAGTTTATTTCTTTAATCTTTGTTGTCATTTATTTATTTACTTAGCCCATATTGAGTGATGAGATAACTACATAAATGGCATTTAAAAAATGCTAGCGGTTTCTTTTACTGTTGAAAAATATACAGCATTTACCTTTTTTTTCAAGTTTTTATATAGTTATTTATGGAAAGTACAAACTTTACTAGTTTCATTCAACCTCATTTTATTAGCATGTTGTAATATGAATTAGGATTTGGAAATTACGTTTTTAGATTATGCATTTAATTTACTTGATATGAAAAAGTTAATTTTAATTATAGCATTTTTGGGATTAAAGTATCTATTTTTTATAATTACATTTTTTCTTGAACTTTGAAATAAAATCTTGACTGTTGAGAAAACTAAATTTTCTGTAAACAGCAAATTATATGAATAAGCTAATTAGAGGCTGAGGAGTCCGAATATTTAAAAGTAAACTGTTTCTTCATTGTCTGGTTTTGTCACTGAATTGAACAAATTTATTTTTCTTAAGACCATTCTGTTTAACTCTTTGTTTTCTCCTGGTGTATTTACTAGACTTATTATGTTTTCCTTTAGAATAAAGCTAAAATCATAATTCTTGAAGTCTTTCATATTTATTACTTGGAATTTAATCAAGATTTATTAATTTCATATTTATAATATATCTATATTATCATAAATAATGCATTTAAAAAATCATGGAAATAGATTATCTGCTAAAATTGCTTATTCATGGATCAAGAAATTAAACTCGTATTGAGATGTGAAAATTTCTTTTCCAAGCCTCCAAGTATTTTAAGAGTTTCAATTACTTACTTGGAAAATCCCTTGCACTTATTTAATGGCTTCAAAACAGAACAGATCTTTGAGTGAATTTTGTGTATTTGTTAGAATTTTATTGTAAAGCCATTTTTCTTATTACTTTCATTATTAGAAAGAGGAAACACAATTGTAAACAGATTGAAAAATTAGAGATATATTAGATTTTATGATGTACAGTGTTGAATTACTTCCAAAAGTGATTCTCTAGGAACCAGTTACATGATATGAGATAAATTATGAGATTAACATTATTAGTTGAAGTCTGTTCACTTTCATTTTTGTTATGTCATGCATTTGTATATTTTTAAGCCTTCTTGAGACTACAACACCTCCGATTTGGACTTTTAGATGTCAACATTTTAATTAATATATGCACATTCTTGAATTTTCATTATTTGAATAAATGAAGCACGTGTTTTTAGGCTACAGCAAAGGCATCAACTTGTCTGGGATCAGGCTGAGGCAAGAGAAACTTCTGGGGTACAACATTTAAGGAGGCACTCATTCTTAAGATCACCTGAATCAAAGTATTTACAGTAGTTAGGTTATTCTCTCACACAAGATTTTCTTATTTATTTGTCATTTCTTTTATTATCCAACTATTTTTGTGTATCAGATAAAGTTTTGTGACAGATAGTTTTCTGTGTTCACTTTTGAGACCAGAACATTTTGTATGCATAGCTATGTCATTCTAATAAGAACTCACTTAAAAATGCCACCACCTCACAGGTAAATGTCTGAATTCACAGACACTCTTTAGAGGTTATTATTGGCATTTTAACATAGAATTTTTGTGTCATAAGATGATTCAGCATGGGGTTCCTTAAAACGAACTCCCAAGCCATTTAAAATAATGCATATTACAACTGTAGCTCTATCTGATATTTAAAATCTATTTTTGCATAAACCAAAGTGTAATACTGCTGTAGTTTTGAAGACTAGTGCTTAACTGATATTATATCTCTGTTTACACATTTGTTGACTAATTTTGCTTCTCTGGATAACCTCTAGATGATTTCAAGTGAAGTGGCTTTAAATGACATCTTGATGCCAGTGTCCACTAAATCTGTATTATCCATCCTGGCCCCTTCCTGGTCCCTAGAGTCACCTCTTGGGTTGCTGACCTTCATCTACCCTTGGAGTAGGCCTTAAATTTCAAATGTGCCAAGAGGGCTTCCAGTTCCTATCTCCTATCCCCAAATCTACTTCTCTATTAATCTTTAAAATTCATCCTTCTATCTTCCTACTCTCTCCCACTCTATTTTGTAGACATATTGCCTCTCTTTCCCTGACTATGCCTTCCTAGTCTCCTCTTCTCCCTCACCTGGTTCTTTTTGACACTCATATCTCAGTTTAGTTATTACCACCTCAAATAATCCTTCCGTATCCCTCAATTCCAAGGAGCTCTGCTGGATCATATATTCTTAGTGATAATCTGCATAGATTTTGGTTGTTGTCTTGTTTGTCAATGTTTTGTTAATTTGGCTGTGATATTTTGGGAGATTAGCAGACCTCTTTTGATTGTTACGATTGACACTTAGTTCAGATGATTAAAATTAGAATCTTATAATTTGATTCCAATAACATCCATAGTTTGATTCATATAATAGAATTGCAGTATTAAGTTTGCTAGTAGGTAAGTTAACATTTGTATTTTCATGGGACACTTAAAAAACAAATACGTGAGTTTTGTGCCCTTCCAGATTTTCAAAAGTAGTATGGAAAATTAACTCATTGTGTCTTGACAAGTGATGATTACAACTTTTAATAAGAACTACACTAAAATAACAATTTTGAATATTTACATTCATGTCATAGAAGTATGCCTTAAAACAATAAAATGTGATTTTTTAAACCCACTATCTTGACACGATTTAGAAAAGTTGACAACATCCAGAATAATCAATATTTTTGGGAAAACAGTGTATACTGACAGTGTTGACTCTATCTTTTGGTAATTAGGTAGCACATAAAAAATTAAGAATATGAAGAATATGTACATTGGTATATCACTATCACATGTAGGCATATACCCTATAAAATAAAAAACACAGATATGTAGAGAAATCAGTATCACTATGTGAACTAGCATTTCAATAGCAAACAACTGGAAAAGACTAATTGTTCACCAAAAGGGGGATGGTTATATGTATTATTTTACATTTTTTTCATGAAATACTGTGCAATGCTTCAAAATAATGTGGTCAAAGTGTCTTTTGTCTTGGAAAGTTGTTCATGATGATAATGTTAAATTACAAAACAAATTATGGGCAGGCACTGTGGTTCAATACCTGTAATCCCAGCACTTAGTGGGGCAGAGGTAGGAGGATAGCTTGAGCCCAGAAGTTTATATTGTAGAACAATATAAAACTATCTTAGATTCATAATAGTTTCCATTACAAACCTGGATGTATTATTTATTTATGTTTGTATAAGACTATGTAAACATGTTAATAAAACATGGAATGATACTCATCAGACTTCTAAAATAGGTTATCTCAGACACATAGTTTGGAGAAGCAGGAGGGATGATGATGGAACTTCATATACCTCTGAAGTTTTTGCCTTGTTACAGCAATCAGGTATTACTTTAGTAATCTGAAAAAAAGAAAAAACTGATGAATTTCCTTTTTTGAAAAAGCCAGTTAGGCTAGACACAGTGACTCATGCCTGAAATCAAGCACTTTGGGAGGCTGAGGTAAATGGATCACATGGGGTCAGGAGTTTGAGACCAACCTGATCAACATGGTGAAACTCCGTCTCTACTAAAAATCCAAAAAATTAGCCAGGTGTGGTGGTGCATGCCTGTAGTCCCAGCTACTGGGAAAGCTGAGGCAGGAAAATCA